ACTCTAAAGTTATTTTTTGTTATTCTTATTTTGTGTATTTTCTACGTGAAAATGAGTTCTAATGAGATTAGCAATAATACAATAATGGACTGTACTCCGCTTAATTTAAAACTAGAAGCAAAATTTGTCATAGGAAACTTGTTTGTGGTTAAGAACAAACAATAATATATTTAATATTAATTATTTTTAAAATGTTCTGACATAAATTATCTTTAATTCTTTAGTTTTATTATTTTCTCGAAATCAATTGAAGTGAATTTTCGACGGGAACGGGGATTTCCTGACTATAATATACTCATACTATAATATAATCATAGGGTCGCCTCAGACTGCCGTAGCTAGGCGGCGCCACGCAGCAAAACATTAAAACGAGCAATGCAACATAATTTAAAATGCAATATAATATAGAACAAGCAGTAGAGCTCCTTGCAAGCTAAGATAGAGCTCCTTGTGAAAGGGTTCCTCAAGGGAAGTACTGCCATTTTACCTGTTTCTGCCGCCACGCAGTAATATGAGCATTACTGTGTTTCGGCTTAGAAGGGTAATGGGACTTGTCAACTTATGTCTCAGGGTTGACGGGCGCAGTGGCAGTGCCCATAAGATCTTTGCGATTTAAAGCTCTGAATGACACTGCAACTGTTATGGATAGGCGTGTCGCTTACCGCTAGGTGCACGACTTGTTCGTCCCGCCACTAAGTATCATAAAAAAACACATTATCTACTAAATAAAGTAAACATTTCTTCTAACAAAACCCGCGCTAAAACGCGCTGCGCAGCGCGACGCAGTAGAGTAAGAATATGTTCTATATTATATTGGATTTTATAAAGAGTCCACGGCCGCTTGGTGCATTTTTTTTTCATTTTTGTCTAAAGAAACATAACTTTATCCATTACTAGGTAAAGTTATGTTGCATTGCTGCAATAATGCAATTTGAGGCAAATCATACTCCCCCGGCAATCCTTTACTTCCTGGCCTCTGCAATAATATATTATTTTGTGACTGTAGTAGCACTTGTTTTATTTATTTTATTCGGAGTTGGGGTGGGAAAAATAATATACACGATTAACAAATATACGCGATTTAAATCCTGAAAAATAGTTTCATTTCCTATATCGAAAATAAGTTGAGTTGCGTCATCGCAACATCGACAGATTAGAAGAGGAATGAAATTAATTATTGAAACACGAAACACGCGCTCGCTTTTAATATATAAATGATGCTCTCAATGTAACAGCTACCATGAAATTAAAAAACAATACCGTTTCTTCTCGAATATACAATTTTTGATATCCAGCGAAATATAGTATAATATCAACGCAACTGAACTGAAAGTTGAAATGGCTTACCTCCTTGGCCGATGCATTCTTTAGTCTATCCATGTACTTTTTGAATAGCAATCCAGGAACATCTTTCTTCGCCGTGTGTATGATACCCATACCTGCGAATCTATCCACAATAATGATTAAAATCATAGAATATGACCTTTTTTTTTTTCTGGTATTATTTTGCGATTAGAAATTATGCAGCCACTGACGGACGGTACGGCCATTTTAGATGACGAATACCTTACTTAACTTACCTTAATGTTATAATAGAAATATCAATTATAATGGCCGTTGCTACAAAAACAAAGTTGCAGTAAGCTTAGGGTTACCGAGCAGGCAGCCTCCAGAATGCCTCGGCTGCCTTGGGGATGCTCCTGCAGCCTTTCGATGGTTCTTCACCCAAAATCTTTTCTTTACACGATGACGTGACGGTATGCTTCTGCATGCCTAAGGATACCGCGCATAATTGCCGTCAGTGAGCGCTTGCATGTGGAAACGCCAAAGGATTTCTAGCTATGCCGTCTGTTTGTTTATTCATTTGTAAATTGCACTGTATTAACCGATTTAAGATGCCTGTAAGGCAAATGTCTCTTCTCAATAGAGTTAAACGATTTAACATACATAAATATTACTGCGAATATTACATACACTATATTATCTCAGGTCTGGGTGGTTGTGGTACCGTCGTTGTCCCTGATTCCCATAACACTGGAGCTTTAGTTCTTACTTTGACACTAGAGCAATTAATTTATTTATTATTATTTATTAAAATCCGGTCCTGTCTATTTAAAACTGTATAAACGCCCTTTGTTTCTTACTTGCCCACTATAAAAAAGAAACATAACCCTTAAATAATTTTTATTATTATGATTTCAGTTAATAAAGAAATTTAACTAAAATATCAAAATAAATATTTTTTGAGCAGTCAAAAAATATTTGTTTGTCACTTAAACTAAACTCAAAACTTAAACTTGCCATTTTAAACATCTAATCTATAAGTATGGTCAACTTTTAAACAATTCGAAAGTCTCGTTTTCCCCGGAAATTTCGAGAAGACACCGAGTTTCGATATTTTTTCCCGGACGCGGATATGCACGGAGACCGAAAGCCCTAGTAGCCACCATTGGTTGATTACTTACCCAACTTTATAGCTCCCCTGTTCAGGTACGTATGTGCTGACGTCACGATCCTCCTGCTCATCTTCCAACAGTTTGTGAGGATGCTCTTCATCTTTGTCGACTTGCGCCAATCGCGCTCGGATTAACGCTCTCCCTGTGTAATTCACCAACTGCCATGTACAAAAAAAAAGTTTTAGAGTTTCTTGACGCCACGTGAGTCTAAACTAGATAACAACATAAAAATAATGTAATAATTACAGTAAGCAAGTCGTACTTTGGGACTATGTTAAAATAGCTCATAATGTAAGGATATAACTATTTATTCCACTATTTAATTTTGTAAATGGCAAATTAGTTATGGAAGTGTTATTGCTCCATGAAGCTTGGGTGTAAGCACGTAGGTCTGTTTCTCTAAGGCTAACTTGAGTTCGTAATAGGTCAGTTTCACTAATGATGTGGTTTATAAAACGAACAAAATAATAAAGTTCGACTAAACAAAAATAGGGAACTAAGAAAGCTTTCCGCATTTACAAAACGAACTAACTAAGTTTAAGGTAGAAATTAAATAAAAATTTTGAGTTTACTTCGTAATAATTCATAAAACCCTTTTTGCTTGGTCGACATCGTTAATAAAAAATTCGTTAATAATAATGTCTTTGGCCGAGCATTGAGCAATCAACAACCCCTGAGGATGCCTCGTGGAGAGACAAAACACGTGTCGGGTATATTTTTGGTGGTGGTTTGTGACTGTAGTTGCGCTTGTGTTATTTATTTTATTAATGTTATGCGGGGGGACTGTGGGAAAATTAACTGAAATGAAAAAATATTCAACACAAGCGCAGCTATTTTGCACAATTTAACCTTCACTGGATTCGCGGAGTAGTAAATTAATTTACTTCCATTTTTATTAACATGGACTTCCGCAAAGTAACGTCTGAATCTATTAATTAATCAAAATTCGCTTTGTAAATCTCAGTCTGATTTTCAGTCTCATAGAAGTAGTATCTTGAGTATTCGACTTTGTTTCCTGTTTGTTTGAGTCTCCTCGTCACAAAGCAAGCCTCATATCAATATGTAAACATTAAAAAAATCAACAACCTCTTTGTGTCATCTTATCAGTGATGACTATGATCACCTTTGTGGTATAGAAGCTTTATAAATAAGACGTTTACCAAGTGGTTACTAGTTAAATGTCTTACTTCAACTGTAGGATGTGTCTTGGTCTTATTTGCAGTAGTGGACCGCCCGAGCAGGCAACCATGAGTGCCAACCATCTCACTCCTGTACCGGAATCTGAAGTAGATCTGTGGTTGCTCCACTATCCTTAGATATGGTTGTTTACCTGGAAATATACAATATTAAATTATTTTTATATAACATTCTTCAGGATTAGTTCTTTCTTCTTCTTCTTTTAAATGTTATGGCCCCATCGAAATAACCAATGATTTTGCCAATGTCAAGTAAAAATAACTATGTACGGTAGTTTAGTATTATTATAAAAATTATACAAAAAATGGCGATTTCGCCAATGTCCTGTGAGATTATAGATTTATTACTTCACTTTATTATTTTTATGACTCCATCATTATGAGAAATGATGATTTTGCCAATGTCACGGTTGAAAGAAAAAAAAACGAAACAAAAAAAAATTCGCTGAGCTCTAATAGGACATTAACCGGTGTTGGTAAGTTATAGACTTATTATTAGACTAGTTCTTCCACTGCAGTGGCATGGGCATGACAGACAGACAAATGTTTGTCAATATGTCAGAAAATAATGACCATGGCATATTATACTTCTATTATATCTATGATATGTTAAAATTTTTGTCACTCAAACTTTGTAAATATCATAAATAAAAAGTATGACGAATATGATAAACAGGCAAGATAAAATTCTTTTTAAAACCTGCAGCTTTGTCTGGCCATTTAATGAACACTTGTATAATTAGGCAGCCACCAGTGCTGAGTTTCTTTGTTGTAAACCACATACTTCTAGGCTCAGCCCACCTGAGTTCAGATCACCAAAAGTGTTGCCATTTCAGGAGGAACTTGGGTCACATGGGTAGGACCTTTTAATTGGACATAGTTATGCAAACAAGAACCAACTCACACCGTGTGTGGGTTGAATTTGGGTGAACTTGAGTTATGTATTTAGGTAGAACACCAGACGTGTCCTTTATCCACTCACAAAAGATCCTGGCAATATACCAAGCTAAAACGGAGAAAAAAAAAGTCCTTCAGGGTACTGTAGTCTAGGCTCTACTCTATGAGTAGAAGTATTGGCTGAGTGAATATAGATTTGTATTTAGAATGTCTTTAAAAAAATAGGATAGAAAAAAGAACTTCTTGGCAGATCTAGAAGTAGCCTCCATAAGTGAATATGTGAAAAACACAATAAATATCTAATTTTGAAGATAATCCCAGTTTATATTTATAATGTACCTCTCGCTACGCGACCAGAGCTACGTATCTAGGCTATAGTATCAACCCTAAATAAGTAACTTTTTAATAGCTAAAAAGAACCATGCTGCTTGACTTTATATAATGTATTTTTTTAAATGTGCCAATGGATCCATGTCACATGTACTGAAGTACTGTAGATCTTTAGCGTTTTCCTTACGAAAACTAAAACATGGTTCTTGTTAACTAAATAAAAAGATACATAATGTTTTCTATTTATTGCTATATAATATAATAGTTTCCCTATATCATTCTCAATGCTACACATAACTGATGTTGTTTGTCTCAAATAACTTACCTATTTATTTCTTCACACTGTTTTTACAAAAATGTAATTATCTCGAAAGTGACATTTTGTGGGTTGGTTCTAGTTTGCATAACTATGTCCAAGTCAGCCCTTTAAAATGTGCGCTACAGAGTCAATTTACAGATACACATGTCATAAATGTCTAGGTATCAAGGTTTTTTTTTAAATATTTGAATACCCTATTAAATTAAATAAAAATATCTATATTATTTATTAAATTATTTACTTGTTTATTTATTAAAATGACCTCATCGCTCTTTAGAGCGGCCACCTCTAAAGCAAGGATTGCCATTATATTGACCAACCTCCATTAGGAACGGAACTATAAGAAGATCAATATAACTTGAAGTCAAAATGAATAAAAATTAAGCTAGGATTTCCATGGGTTTCATTGCTTTGATTGCCTTTGGCTGGGGCAAAAAAAAAAAAAAGGTGCTTATCCAGTAGTGACTATTACACGCCCATTAAAAGTAAGTTTTGAGGTGCAGAGGGCTCTCATTAACCCTGTGGCAAAATCTACAGTCCCTGCCTTCGATATGAGGTTAAATATGTGCTTATCTGTAAAAAAAAATATCTGTGAGAGCACTGGTTAGCATTCCAACGAAATGCCAGAGCTTCAGTACAGTTTCCAAACATGTTATAAAGGAATTAAATAAAAAAAAAATGTCTTAAATAAGCTTTGGAAACTACCACATCAATAATTTATTTTCATAATCATTGGGACATGTTTATGGGCACTCTTATCGACCCTTTGTGTTTTTCATAAAATTAAGAAAAAATAATTTTTACAAATTTTTGGTTGTTTTGTCATTTCATCATCAATAATCGTCACCTTAGAGTGAAAACCTCGCATATGTATTTTTACATATAGTTTGTTTTTACTGATTGTTTTGTGAAATGTTGAAACAATAATTAAAAACCTCGTGTTTAAATACATTATTAAGGTAATAATCACTTCTCGCGTCAACGGCGCTTGCATTCGGACGTTTTGTCGTTTATTCGGTAAACCGTTTTCGATCTACCCCCAAGTTTAAAGTGAAATTTTTGTGTGGTGAAAATGAGTGATATAGATGAAGATGATGGCCCGGATTTAGCATATCTGGATGGCCTTTCTATAGAAGACATAAATCGATCAATTTTGGGTTGTTCACCCCACTCTCAGGAGAATGATGAGAACAAAACTAATTTTGAGGTTATGATGATTGAGTCTTGCACGAACAACACATCTTTGAGGAACAATAAAAGACGTGTAGAGCAAGAATCTGGGACCTCACAGAACCCCGATAATAAAGGCTTTACTGTGATAAAGAAAAAAGCCAAACCCAGAAAAAAATAAACATCTCGCTTCTCCACCCACTGCGGAAGAAATGGATACTGCTAATGAAAATTTGCAATTCTTTGAAGTGTCTGTGATGTCGAAAGACATTCCCCTACCGAAACAATTAGGAATGGCCAAACTACTAAAAGATGAAAATGTTCAGGAAATTCTGAAGGTAACCTATAAAACTCCATACAAAGGACTTATTAGATTCAAAACAAAAGAGACAGCAACTGCATTCAGGAGGAGCGACCTTATAACCAAAAAACAGTGAGTGTGCCAAAGTACTAGTGAAGTTTCATACACCTATGGTGTAATAAGGGACGTTGATATAGATATAGAAGAGAAAGAAATGTTAAATATATTCCAAAGTAAAACAGAAATTATTTCAGCAAAAAATATTTTTTTATTGGTAAAAGAGATGATGAAGGTAATTGGGTAAAAAGCGAATCTATCCGTATTTGCTTCATGGGACCTATCCTACTTCAATTTGTGGTAGCATATGGATGTCGGATGAAGATTTAATCCTTTACATTCCCTTTTTTTTTAAATTTATTAAGGCTTTGGCAAAGCCATCAGCCTAAACATGAAGTTTAATTGTTTCTGTAAATATGGCCGCCACAAAGAGGATAGGCAATTTGAGGCGGCGTGCTTGGATTGACTCGGGATTCCTTAGAACGGGCCGATACGGGTATTTTAGTTCGAGATTCGTATAATTTCGCGTTTTAATCTTCGATTAAGGTACAATAGCACTATCCTATTAAACCAGATTTCACAAAATAATTGAAAGTCAAAATAAAAACGACACTTTTCCGTCCAAAATGCCCAGAGTGAATCCTTTACATTCCCGGTCACTCAGTGTGGCAAATGCTGGAAAAATGGCCATATTAAACGGTTTTGCCCCTCTAAAGCCATCATATGCCCAAAATGTAGTAAAAAGCACGAAAATTATAAACCAACAAATATAAATGTGTAAACTGTAAGGGCGAACACATGTCATTTGTTAAAAGTATGTGTCCAGCATTCCAAAAAGTAAAAAACTATTCGGCGATACATGTCTAAACATAGCTGTACATACAAAGTGGCCATTCAAAATTTAAATGAAATGAAGAAACAGCAACCAGAAATCCAAAACTTACAAAGAAGAGAGGGAACTGGTAACACACAACAGCAAGAACCATCCACTCCATTGACAACAAATTCAGAACCTACCAGAACACCATATAGAGATGCATTGAGAAAAAATACAAGCACTCAATCTCAGATGAGAAACATCAACATAAGTAACAGCGGCCACCCAGCTCCCTCAGTACGCACAAATCTTAGAAATTAGTCTAAACCCAAGAGACAGACTCGAAAACATAGGAGTAAGAAACGATTTCTATCTAACTAATAACAATGGTGATGAAACTACATCCTTTTCTTCTAGTGATGCTGAGGTCAGTCATATGGGAGTGCATAACACACCAATAAGGAAGTCTCTACTAAAGAGGCTATGGGATAAAATTATAGATTTAATTTTTTCATCAAGAAATTTTATAAGATGCAATGTTTGAACATAACTTTATATGTTTAAACAATTTGGGACCCCACAAGAATTCTGTTAGCCGATGGACCCATGCAACAATCTTCTCCGGACATCACATTTGTTTCAGTAGATATTGCAACTAAGTGTAAATGGACAGTCTCAAATGAATCGCTCGGAAGTGACCACTTAATACTGAAAGTTGCCTTTGAATATATTATTTATAGAAGCCCATTGGATTAAATATAAAGAAGAATTAGATATCATATTTTCAGAAACTTCAACCACATCTAGTATTGATATAGACTATAGTAACTTCATAGAAAAGATAAATTTGGTAGCAGACAGGACCATACCCTGGATAAAAATCTGTCGAACCCCTAGTAGCAAATTCAGTCCCAAACCATATTGGAATTCTAATTTATCTAAAGTGAAGAGTGAAATGAACTGGATAAAAGGTAAAAGCTATAGCAGGAGCACCGCAACTCTGGAAAGAATTAAAGAATTGCTTCTCTCTCTAACATCTGACTCTGTTGGAGAAAAGCCTCCTGTAATAAATAATATTTCCATGAATCTGTTAGAAAAAGAAATAACCCTTTGTGAATTTAATAACTGTATAAAACGAAAAGACCACCCTTGTTGTGGATGACTTTTTCTACTCCATGCTATTTAATTTCTGGCAAATTATATTTAATGAATATTTTTAATTTAATTTTAAAAACAGGTTCCTTTCCTAGCCAGTGGAGAAATATTAAAGTAATTCCAATAGTTAAACCGGGTCGTGACCCCAACTCGCTATCATCGTTACGCCCTATCTCTCTGATGTCTTGCCTGTGCAAACTCTTTCATTTCATCATTATGAAAAGAATTGAGTGGCACATGGAGAGTCGAGACTTATTATCTCCTTCCTCAGTTGGTTTTAGGAGAGCTTGTTCTAGTCTGGATTGTCTTTCAAGAATTGTTTCAGATATAACTTTGGGTTTCTCGTGAGGAGTCCCAATATGGCTTGCTTTTTAGACGTATTTATCGCTTATAGCAATGTTAGTATCTCTTCGCTGAGAAATCCTGAAAGGTATTGGAGTAGGGGGAAGAATCTGTCGATATATATGGAACTTCTTGACTAATAGAATATTGATGGTGCAGTTATCCAGTAACACTTTCTTTAGTAGGTAGGCTAACAGAGGCTTAGTCCAGGGCGACCCTTTGTCACCACTACTCTTCAATATTGTCACCATACAACTAACAAAAATCGATACGGAAGTTCAAGTCCTGCAATACGCCGACGATTATGCAGTATATAAGACTGTATACAATAATGAAATTCAATCTGTAGTGATATTAGGAATGTAATCTGTATTTTTACAGAGTTGCTGGGAAATACTGCACTATGTATATCAGAGGAGACAAGTAAAGCCTGTTTATTTAACAGATCCAGAAGAGAATTTAATTTAGAATTGGACATATCTGGTCTAGTAATAAATAACCATAAAAAAAATTAAATATCTGGGCTTATGGCTAGACTCCAAGCTCTTCTGGAACTCTCACATAAATGAGTTGTGTCAAAAGATTTAAAAACATCTTAATATTTTAAAAGTACTCATAGGTAGCTCTTGGGGCGTTCACCCTAAGTTTATGAGAAGGCTATACATTTCTCTTCTAAGAAGCTGAATCGATTATGGAAGTTTTTTGTACGCTAACTCAGCCAGCTGTCACTTACGTAAACTAGACCTCTTACAAAATAAAGCCTTACATATATAGCCCTTACATATAAGCCTTATATACATATCTGTGGGGGTTTCATTAGAACTACATCGATACATGTAATGGAATATGAGTTGGCCACACCACCTTTGGCTGTGCATTAGATACTGGTTGGCACATAAATATTGGTTATCCACGGTGTCCCTCACTAATAAAGTAAGTGTACAAAGTATTCAAGATCTTACCGCAGAATGTAACATAAATAGTTACTGGAATAATAAGGCAAAACCAGCTTTAACTGAAGCTTATAACAATTTAGAAAATAGAGATGTATACAAAAATAACAAATTTGAAATGTATTATATGGAAATTTGGATGTCATACATAGATATAAATAACTGCATAAAAGACAGGATACCCAACTTGAACACTCCCAAGGGACAATGTAACACGGTGTATTTAAATAATTGTGTAAATAGTTTTTTAACTCTTGTATACAGTGGCTACTATAGGATTTTTACTGATGGTTCCGAGGACATCAATGGTGTTGGCGCGGCCTTTTACGACTCGCAACAAAATGTATCATTCAAACCTAAATTGTGTTATGAAGCATGCATATTGAGAGCGGAGTTATTTGCCCTTAGTGGAAGCATTATCCTTTGTTAGTTCTGTGGATTCAAACAAAATCGTTATTCTCACTGACTCTAAAAGTGCACTTCAGCACTTGGTTTGATGTGTCTTTGGAGGTTGAGGCCTGCGGATAGCATATGAGACATTAAAATTAAGGACTAACCTATTGTCCAACAATATTACCATAACACTTCAATGGATACCATCACATATCGGACTTCAAGGAAATGAAGTAGCAGACAGACTAGCAAGGGAGCTTATTTCCGAGCCGTTGGAACCATCAGGTATAGCCTTTGCCACAGAACTTATCCCATTTGTAAGGGACTTAAATATGGATTAATGGGCTAAGAGCATGATGAGATACCTATGATGGGTATATGGTACAAAACTATCCAATTGCATGCTCCAAGAAAGCCCTGGTTTGAGGAGGGTAGACTATCCAAGTCACTGTTAATAATTGCTCTTAGACTGCGTTCTGGTCACATTCCATTAAATAAATTTTACTATTGCATGAGAAAGGCAGAATCCCCTCAATGCCAATTTTGTAACAAGTTGGAGGACATGCTTCATTTGATGGAATGTGATCGGTATGTGGGCTGTCAAGCCCAATATCAATTGAAGGTCAGTGGTCAGGTGGGAGAGCTAAATTTAATGCTGAGTAACCCGTTGATGAAGAGTGCTGAAGCTCTATACTCCTATGTGAGGTCTTGCTTTCTGATGAGGAGCAATACCTCACCCGTGTGAGTATTGCTCCTCATCTTTATTGCTACTCCCGTGAGTAGTGATAGATAAGATAGGAGACTTATTTATATGTATACATACATTACGAGGCCGAAACAAACGCCCGAACATTTCAGGCCTCTTAAAACTAGGTTTAAAAAAAATTAAGGTAATAATAAAGGGGTTAAACTAACTACTACTAAGTTACTACTGAATTAAAATGCTAACTACAAACATTATTGTGTTTATTATATTTTATGCCACATTTGTATCACTGTCCAAAAAAATTCATAGAAATCACATACTAGATATTTACTCTGAAATAACGATATAAATTGACAGCTGCCATCCTATAACAAACAAGCAATTCAAAAAGTAAAAACTTACAAATATATGGATAATTCACTGTGGAATACATAGTCATTTTAATATACAATTGCACGTTTCAACCAATCACAACATACACCAAAGACCGTTTGTTGCTATAGATAATTTTTACGTCTTTACATTGAAGGGATCACTTCGAAAAAAGTAGGTTATCTAGGTTTGGCAAAATGGTGATAAAATACGATTTTGTTATTAGTAAACATAATATGTTCAGTACCTTTCTCGACATCATGTAACACTTATATTCCACGCTGATTATCTATAAATTCCTTTACAAATACTTGTTGCCTTGGTAAATAAAGACGTCTAGGTTCTTCCTTAGGTTAATTTAAAAATAAATATTACATACCATCAATGAGCATTGCAATATCATCTCCACAGCTTATACCGGAGAATACATTCGTCAAGTGGGGCACTTGTTGTGAAGGGGACGAGTATGGAGACTCTAAATGTGATCGTGGAGAACCCACGCTAGAGGATTCACTGAAATCTTTTTCACTCACAGACATTTTTATTTATCAAAGTTCAAAGATCAATTTACGTTACACAAAGCAGTTACTGGTCTACTTTACAGTTTCGCTCTTTCTTCCAGAAGTAAAACTATTAATCTCCATACGTATAAATCAAATTTGCTTATGTATTTTCCTTATCACTTCCTAGAACAAATTAACTCATACATATCAAACAACAATGTTCGTTTCACTTTGACATATTGATACAAGGTGCTGCCATAATTTTTAAGTTTTCCTTATATGCTCTATCGTTTTAAGTGAATTAACGTACCGCAGCGACAGACACTTTTACAGATACTTTGAGCGGTAAGGCCTGAATTTAAATAAACAAATATAAGAATTTGGTTGCTTAACCGGTTAAATAGTTACTTCTATGTGCTGTAAACCGTCTTGTATAATAGCGAGTTTTTAAATAGTGAAACAATTAGATTCTTTTAAAATATTATCTAGTAAAAGTATATTGTACCCATATTTTGAAATATCTTGTTTAATTTTATTATATACACACTCCCATGCAAGACAGTAATTTTTTTTTACAACGTTTTCACTTTTATTTCTCTTCTTAAGTTTATTTTTGTATTATTATAGTACTAAAAATTGTATTAAAACAACCCAATCTACTTGTTGTTAGGGAAAGGGCATTAATAGCTACGAAATTTGTTTAATTAGTATTTATTGTTTTTGTTATTATCAAACTAATTATTATTTGTAAATCTTGTAATTGTCCCAAATAAAAATTCATTAAGTGTAAGGTTTGTTTTTTCAATGAACTATCAATATTGATAGTTTATATTTCCCTAATAAAACTTTCAATTTATATAACACTATCAACACAATAACCGCTTTAAGTTTTATATTGTGCATAATTTTGAGGACAGCGTAGGAAGTTGGTATCATCAACAATACAAGGTTGAATGACGTAGCTCCGGGAAAGTACCGAAACCATGACTCACGAAAAGTCCCTTTCGATATGAGAATAAACTGCTCACTCAATTTTATCGGTGGTGTAGGAGATGAGATGACTAATAATATTAAAATGATTTATTGAGAAGGAGGTACAGGGTATATTTTGATTATTTACAGCAATTTAATGAAAATTATGGCTCGTAAATTGCGATTGAAATCATTACAACCTGGGGGTCTACTCTCGATCTCCGTCTGACATCCGTCCGAAACAATTGCTGCCAAATAAGCAATACTTGACCAAATGAAAAGACGCGTGATGCGAACGAAGCTTCATCCTTGATACTTGTCTTTTAATTTTGTAAATAAATAAATATTACTTATTTGACTGTAATTGTTTGGAACGGATGTCAGACGGAGATCGAGAGTAGACCCCCTGAACCTGAAAGACAATGATGGGTTTATAATGATTTATTATGATGGGACAGTTTACATACATAATAGTATCGTCGGTGTTTCGAAAAATTTTTCACTCGAGCATGTTTAGGTTTTCACGACACTGTTTTAAAATATTTACTTAGTGTTTTAAATTCAAGTTTTGTTTCAGTTTAGTTTAAGTTTGAAAATTGAATTTATAACAGTACGTAAATATATTAGAACAGTGGGAAAATCTAAAACATGCTCCCCTGAAATATTTTTCGTAATGGCGCTTACGCTCTTTCTACAAAACGCCTCAAAATGTATGCGTTTATGTGTGTGTAAATGTACCAAGTTTGTGAAAATTCGGATGTAAATTACGAAGATACGTTTTCTTTTTCAAACAAATCAATGTTACGGGCTCTTTACGGCACCCTGACGAACTGCATGCGAGAAGACGATGCAGACAACTGCATGCAGATTGCAGTTACAGCCGATTGCATGCAAACGACGCCGTCACTAGTCGTGCGCTTAGCTCAGGGGCAGCGTAAAACCTGATGTCGACTCGAAATGGAATCAGAAATACAGAATGATGAGCAAATTTCTATGAAACTTGGGCGTAAGATCAACATTGATGTAATTAGGACTGGACATAATGATTTTAAATTAATCAATAGGTATCTGTTAGGTTTGTTGGTTCTAATTTTTTTTCAAATAGTGAAATAAAACAAAAAGTTTACAGTCCGATTTCACAAGGAGCTCTACTGCTACTTATAACTATGCAGCGCTGGATAGAGACCTATGGAAACAGATTACCTGCTCAAAAAGTAGGTATATAGAAAAGTAATTATTCATGCCGTGGCCTGCAGGCCGTGGATCGAACTTGCGGCCTCAGATCGTGAAAACCGACGTGCAAAATATTCGACCACTGAGGTCGTCAAGAGTGATTTTTCAGTAGTTGACATGCATTTAAGTTGACATGAAATTAAATAAATTTTAGGCTAAATTTGCATTACTGCGGAATGGGAATCGAGTTTTTGTAACGAAATTGTATGTACATGGCGTGATGAACCTTTTGTCAATGTGTAACCACAAATAATATAATACTGCACTAGTAGAGATACCCAATCTCATATTGTACAAAGAAACGTTGAACTCGTAATTTCGCTTATTCGGACGCTTATTTTGATTCTTAACGTTGATCAAAATAGACGGTACCATGTAAACTTTAAACTTAAAAAAAAATTTTTTATCTAAAACTAAGTGCATTTGACTTCCATCTCACCCGATGGAAAGAGACGATGAAGTCAATGATAGAGCATGCACACCTAAATAATACCCATTCACTCTCGCCTTGACACGGCCCTACTTCTTATTTAGAAGTACCTCCAGTTTTCGAGATTCAATACTCCATATTTTTTTATTTATCCAAGTGTCGCCATCTACTGTTTTAAATGTGTACTAGAGTTCATTTACATGAATTTGATACGCCATGGTGCAACGTACATACAAACTAATGGATACGATATAGTAGCTGCGGGTATTCCCGAGACTGCGCGAGAATTCTCCGAAAGACGTGAGACCTGTTTTTTGGCTCGCGTTTATAGAATTGACATTTAAGTTCATTATCCTATAGTTACAATGTAAATCGCTTCCATCGCGGAACGGATTCCGGGGCAACGTAAATTAAGCCTTAGTAATAAATATATTAGTCAATACGATACTGATAAGAGATAACAGTTGACGTATTTTTGTATAGAAGTTTATTGATAACTGAGTCGAAGCGAGTCACAATCCTATATGTATGTACGTGTAATATACGTACTTTATTATTATTTATTACATGCATTATATAATAATAGTGAGTAGTGTACCTATACGCTTATACATTAGTGACTTTAAAAATACAATTTGGACGAATGTATACTTTACGTATAGTCGTCTGCGATAAAATGTTGACGTTTATCATCATCATCATCATTATATGAGCAAGAAGACGTTCACTGCAGAACACATAGGCCTCCAATATTTCCTCCAATATTTATATCGCTGGCAACACTTTGGCTGGCTATAAACGTTCACACGTTTTCGAATATACGTAAACACTGACTGCTGTACGCGACTTCGTCTGTGTGCAGTAAGTACTTCGAGTAGCCTATTGTACTGTACTAATTTTCGGTTCTCCATACAAAGTTTCATCCCCTAATAATATCACTCTTTTAAAATTTATTTTGGTGATGCGAGAGTAGCCAAAGTCCTTCTCCTAGGTCCAATATATCTGTATACCAGAATTCATCAAAATTTGCTCAGCGGTTTAGGCGTGAAAACGGAACAGACAGTCGGAGTTACTTTAGCATTTATAATATTAATTTGGATTAGATATTCCAAAAATAAGTACCTTGTGATGTGTTCAAAAATATGTAATTATCACGTCTGTATAGTCTGGCTTAGAAAAAGCTAATTTTAAACAAAAGCACAAATAATACACTACTATACAAAAGTAAACAAAGTATAATATGTGAAAAATATACACTCCGGTGTTTTTTAAATAATAATTCTAGCCAATATCAATTTCTGTACAATCCCTTTTCATTAAAATGTATTGTTTATTGTAATATCAAGTGACACGGACAAGTCGTGCGCCTTATGGTAACCTACACGCCTGTCCATAACAGTTACATTGCCACACAGACACTTTAAATCGCAAAAATTTCGGTCGTCAATACTGCCCTCGTAACGAAAAAAGGCACAACCATGCGTACTTTATACAACAGTTGTGCCTTTTTACGTTCCGAGGGCAGACTAACGTCGTTCAATTGAAATTCACAAATTATTGATATATCACTGTTGAAGTTTATTCATTAAGTAATATTATTAATGTTTATTGTCACAACTCTACACAACAAGTCACACTGTTCATGTTATAAAAAATTGATAACATAATAAATGTGCATAATATACATATAGGTATTATAGACGCGTAAGTTTGTTAGTCCGGCCGTATGAGTTTCATTATTATTTATTTTCATCGTCATCAACATCAATCCATTCACACGTCCCACTGCTGGGTACGGGTCTCCTCAGGCCAGGGTTTAGGGCCAATGTTGGTTGGGGACTTCACATGTTTTCCGAGAGTTGTGAACCTTCTTCGACGTGCAGGTTTCATCACGATGTTTTCCTTCACTAAAAAGCTCATGGTAATTTTCAAATTAAACTTCGCACATAAATCACGAATTCTCAAAGGTGTGAGCCCAGATTCGAACCCACACGGTCTGTTTGAGAGGCGGTAGGCGAAACCATCCGCATTTTTATTTTTTCATTATTATTCATTTTATTTACTGTGTATTTATAATTCATCATTGCGTTATATCTTGTTGCGCCCACGCCTGCAAACATTTCTGAAGTATTTGATCGAGCTACTGGACACGTGTCTCTTCTAAGACAGGGTGAAGGCCATAGTCCACCACACTGGCCCAGCACGGGACTGGACTTCATTATTTTCAGTGGCATTGCAACGCAGTTACAGATTAAGTAAAAAATAATTGAAAAAAAAAAAACAATTGCAAAAGGACTATAATGTCGTCATATACGCTTTTCTAAAAGCTACCTTGTGAACTCAGTCTTAAACAGTGAAGAACTTGGA